CCGGTCTCTCCTTCATCCAGACTTTTGGCGCGTGTCTATTAATCTGTGGTAAGATAAAGTAATCAATTTTTAAAACTATGTAGATAACTCAAGCACACGCTTTGCGCACGCCAAAGAACTTTTCTTCGAAAGGGTACATAATTTTAATTGCTGAATTTCAATTATGTACATAACTTTAATTCTCGAATTCTATTATAACATTAATTTTATTTCGATGAATTTTCACGAGAGAGGTGCTTGCTATATTGATTGGTGTTTGTTGAAACGGGTTTTAAGACGATCTTAAATATAAGAAAGGATTATGAATACCGCCTTAAGTACTATATATATTCACAGATTAATAGACAGATCGCCAAAGGCCTGCCTAAAGAAGAGACCGCCATCTTCGTGCGATAGACTTTGCCCCTTACCGACACACTTTGCCCCTGGTTCGAGTCCGTGCTAAATTTCGTAGACTTGAACCAAAAGACTTTGCCCCTGGTTCGAGTCCGTGCTAAATTTCGTAGACTCGACCAAAAGACTTTGCCCCTGGTGCAAGTCCAGGCTAAATTCGTTTGACATTACCAACAGACTTTGCCCCTGGTGCGAATCCAGGCTAATTGATCATGAGACCAATTTGAGAGATTTGGCCCCCGTGTGTGTGTGTGTGTGTGTGTGTGTGAGAGAGAGAGAGAGAGAGAAATTTTACATATATGCATATATATATATAAAATTTATTAAATATAAAAAATATATTTTTTACACATAAAATGTTTTTTTATTGAAATAATCACGATTTTAAATGTGATATAACACAGTGTTCAAAAATTTTTAATTAAATTTTTTAATTAAATTTTATTAAAGAAAATTACTTGAAATTTTTTACATTAAGAATTTAAAGGCTCCTTATTCTCTTGTAGAAATTTATCACTACGCCAATTAATCACTTATTTTGAGTATTTAAAATACTATAATATACAGTAATTTAAGTATTCGAAATAAAAGTGATTAATTACTCGAAATAAGTGATAAATTGGCGTTACTAGTAATAAATTTCTATAAGGGTTGAAATAAAGTATAAGAGATAAATAGGCTATATGTGAGCCGTATGCGAAATGTGAGATGTAAGACGCATATTGAAATTTAATTTTTCGATATAACTTTCAAAAATGTACACGAGGTACAAAAAATTAGCTTGGACATTTGTAAGACTTAAAATTGGGATTAATTCTCAATTCTATTAATTAAATTTCGATATAACACACCTTACATCCGCGCACGGCTCACATATATATAGCCCATTTATTAGTGCAATTTTTAAGTTCCTTATTTTTCAAAGTTCACCTTTTTACGTTATCAAATATTTTTACGTTTTCAAGAATTTTATATTTTTACTTACCGCAGTTTCTTATCCAAATGTAAAATCTTTTATCGCAGTCTATAAAAAATTGAAACAATTTACAATTTTATGATATAATATTATTATTATTACAATCTATATGCACATCTGTCAAATATCGTGATTTATTTCACATTATTATTATCTATTTTAATAAAAAAAAAACAAAAACACTTGCAACAATCAAAAATAAACCGCCTGCCGCGAACGGAAAATGCCAAGAAAGCACGCAATTTCCGCGAATCTCGTAATTTTTTTGAAAAATCAACAATTTCAACGAAATTGTAAATTCTTCAAATCACTGCACAAGTATAATTCACAATAATAATTTTCAGTAACTACGATAAAAAATCGTATACTGAAAACCGCAAACGAAAGTGCAATGGGAGTAAGAGTAAAGTCTGTGATAAATTAATTGGCAATAGAAAATTAATAATTTTCAAATAGAAAAATTTTGAAATTACCGAGGATTTACAAATAATAAAGTAAAAATATTAAATAATTTATGTGACTTTGTATAGTGAACACATCAACTTGGCGGAATCTTGACTACTCATCAATTTAAGTAAGCAATTCTAAACACAATTAAGATCTTTCACATAAAAAAAAATAACTTATTAATATAAATTAATATACCAAAAGAATAAAAATATACTTAGACAATCACGGTGAAATATACTGCAATGACGAACTTACTCGGAAATATCCTTGATGATGGGGACTAACTTTTTGATGCTGGATAACATCTAATTGTTTTCAATTCTCATATCAAGCGGTTCTGACGATAATTTTAACTAATAATGTTCAAAAGAATTGATGACGTGGAATGGGCCGTCAACCTGTTCTACTAACAACAGGGAACTCGTTTACATGTTTTTTGACATAATCAAAAAGTTTACCATCTTAACTAAAAAATGGTTAGCCGATTAGAAAAAATATCTAATTTAATAAATGTTATAAGCGTAACCCAATTTAAATTTATCGACTTATTAAACCAAAATGTTCATTAAAAAATAGACTCTAATGCGTAATATGTCATAATTTTTCTTAAGAGAATTTTTATTGTTTTTATATTTACTGAAGAAGGCTGAGGTAACAGCCGAAACGTTTTATTATTTTTATTATCATTGTATCTACTAAGAAATAAATCAATTATGTGTTGACATTACATCTCTCACTAATTTAATATGCTCGTTATAGTTGGCCCTGTCTTTCTAAATCTTATTTTTATAATATCACACGAGCCTTGTCTTTAAATATCTAATTGTTTTCCTTATTAAATTTAAATAATTTATGTTTTCGAATTTTGCTCGCGGAGAGGATCTTTAAAACAAGATTTTTAGAAGAGAGGACCTTTAAAATATAAACAGGCAAAAACGTTGGAAAAATTAAAGCGCGCGTTTAAACAGATAAACGCAATGAAATAAATACGCAATTGTTTTTACTTATCGCTGTAAGCTCACAAGCTTCTGACGTGCTATACACTTTTATATAATATATACAAGGTGTCCGGTAACTAACGGACCAATGATTAAGGGCGGATTCTCTGGCTAATTTGGAGACGATTTTTCCTTAGCAAAAATGTTGAGAAGTCAATAATTTTCGAGTTATAAGCGATTGAAAAAAATAGGTTTTTCGAAAACTAAACGTTTTGGAGTTAAAAGTCTAACATAATTACATTCTTCAGTTAATTTCAGGTAGAGTTTACTATAATAAAATTTTAATTTAAGGCTTAGTTATAAAGATACATAATGACAAAGATTGGAAAGTTGTAAAAAATGATGACCTTTTTCGACATTTTTGCTGAGGAAAAATCGTTCCCAAATTGACCAAAGAATCCATTTGTAATCATTGGTCTGTTAGTTACCGGACACCCTGTATATTGGACACGAGTTTCGTTTGTTTCAGATTCTCGAGAGTTGAAGTAGGAACATACGAGTATCATATATCGTTTGTGACTTGCCGAATGAAAGCAAGACAGAGAGCGAACGAGATGATGAGCTTAATAGCTCATAATGTTATAAATAAATAAATAAAAAATTATAACCTGACCTACTAATTATTGAATCTTTTTTAATAAAATGTTTCATTATTATTATCATCTAAGTCTAAGTCGTTTAATTACTTTTTAGTTTTTTAATAATTAATTTAATTTATTCTAGTCATTTTTATATGAGAAAAATAATATCACGTATACGTTTTATAATGAATTAATATATTTCGGGAACCAAATTATATATTCTTAATAATATAAAAGTGTTCAAAAATTATATTTAACTTTTAATTTTAATTATTTTATAGCAAAGAGTTTCGAAATCTCTTACACACATAATGGGGATTTTTTTCATCCATATAATTCGCAATTAAGTATATATGTTAATTATTAATTTTAATAAAATAAAAATTAAAATTAAAGGTCAAATATAATTTTTAAACACAAATATATTAAATTAATTATAAAACGTATACCTATGATAGTATTTTCTCGTACAAAAATAATTAGAGTAAATTAATTAATCATAAAAGATTAAAAATTAATTAAAGAATTTAAACTTATATTTTATATAATAATAATAAAACATTTTATTACGTCAAACCGTCGTGAAATAATTAAATAAAATTTGCTTAGTAAAATAAAAGTTACGTCAAAGTCAAGTTTTCTAAGCTTATAAAACATTTTATTAAAAAACAGATTCAATAAATATAAGTACATGTTATATATATACTTATATTTATTGAATCTGTTTTTTTTTATAAAATGTTTTATTATTATCATATATAATATAAATTATTTAATTATTTTTTTATTTTTTATGAGTAATTTAATTTGTTCTAGTTATTTTTGTACGAGAAAAATACTATCACGCGGGTATACGTTTTATAACGAATTAAATATATTTATGTTCAAAAATTATATTTGACCTTTAATTTTAATTTTGTATTTTATTAAAATTAATAATTAACATATATACTTAATTGCAAATTATATGGATGAACAAAATCTCTATTATGTGTGTAAGAGATTTCGGAACTCTTTGCTAAAATAATTAAAATTAAAAGTCAAATATAATTTTTGAACACTTTTATATTATTAAAAATATATAATTCGACTCTCGAAATATATTAATTCATTATAAAACGTATACGTATTAGTATTTTTCACATATTAAAATGATTAGAATAAATTAAATTAATTATTAAAAAACTAAAAATTAATTAAACGACTTAGACTTAGATGATAATAATAATGAAACATTTATTAAAAAATAATTATAATAGGTCAGGTTAATATTTTATTTATTTATTTATTTATAACATCATAAAATTCTGTCCTTTCCGAAATACGCGAACGCTACGAAAAGATAAATCTCGTACATGCCGCCGGACGAGTTCATGAGCATGAGACGCTCTTATCTTGGGAACGGATTAATAGTTACTGCATTGACCACTACTACGATATGGCGCTGAAATCAGTGAGAAATGCTGGTCTCTCCTTCATCCAGACCTTTGGCGATCTGTCTATTAATCTGTGTCTGTGATATATTCATCTTTCTTAGTTCGAGCGTGCGCCGCGAGGGCGCTTGCCGCGCTGTCAGCTGTCAGTGGCAGCGCCGTCAGCTGTCACTCTAGTATGCGCGCAGTCTGTGGACGTACTTCACCGCGATCGTACGTGAGATCGAGCTGTGTTCGCTGCGTCGTCGGGTCGTCGTGATTCTCGCAGAGCGAAATATTACAGTGCGTGAGATACACCCGACGAGAGATTCTCGGAGAGCGAGACAGAGTCTCGCAGGCGAGTGTGCGTGCAGGATATTATCTCCCGATCGGGGGAGGAGTGTGTAAGTGCGTGGAGGGATCGCGATATCAGTGTGCGGTCGCGCGTTACATATAGAGGTGGTGAAGTTAGCCGCGGACGTGTGGCGACGATCATCGACGGTGGCGGTGGCGGCGACGTCGTCGTTTTGACAGTCTGTCGTGGCACGGGCGGGCGCACCTGGGTCGCATCCCGTTGCCGGCGAGCCGTCGTTTCGTCCCGTATCCATCGTGCTTGCATGCCACGCTCGGACGCGAGAATTGGAGCTCCCTGCTGGCGTTTCGCGGGGCTTGTCGAGGTAGGCCACTTCGCCGATACCGTGCACGTTCCTAGATTGGCGGTAAGTTATCCTCAGCGCCTTCTTTTTCGATTATATATCGCGGGCTTAACGCTTATCGCGATTAATCAAATTGTCAGAATTATCTGGCTAATCTTAATATTAATATACTCTCTTTCGCGCTTTACTTTGCTTTTAACCTACTTATTTCTCTGCAGATTCGAAGCGCGGTGAATGTGTGTATATATACAGGCATCTCGGGGTAAAAGAAAGAAAGACGAGGGGGGCAAAGTGCGACTGAAACACGAATGATTTCACATTATAGTCTGTACTATAAGAGGGAGAGAGAGATGTAGAGCAAGAGAGAAAGACGAAGGATCTCTCAGTTAAACATTTGCCGAAGTTAATTGATCTGTTTGTTTTTACTCGCAGTTTTCGTACTCTGCATTTTTCATGCGAGTTTGGATCGCTTCGAGAACGATTAAAATGACGTAATAGTTCTGCTAAATGCATTATCAGACGTGAACGTAATAATTTTTCTTTAACTCACGATTAGTCGACATTTTATTATATTGTCACAGGAGATATATATTGGTTTTTTTTCTACATTTTTATATTTATGATTTCTTTTGTGCTTAAAAGGCATGCATTTTTATATACTAGTTTTCAGACTGTGCATGGAATTGCATTTTCTTTTCTGCTTTGAAATAAGTGTTGTCTATTCTTTTCAGTCACACTTTCTACTCTTGTTTTTTTTCTTTCAAAATAGCAGTACCCTAATATATCTAAGGCTTTAGGTATTCATTTATCTTTCTGCATGTTCCTATGTTTTTATATTTGAACAACTATGCAAGAGACATCTCACTGTGAAGGGAGATTTTTTTTTTATGAAAGAAAATAGACCATAAAAGAACTTTCTTTTCAAACTGAATTATAAGCAACGACGAGTCGAAAAGAAATTTGCGAAGCATCGAACACTCAATATTAACAGAAAATTATAATAATTTTAATTCTTTCCCTTTATAACATATATAAAAAATTCTTGGCGAATAACTGGATCATAAATTCTTCGAATCTCTGTGCTGAATTTTTTGCATTCAAAATAAAATCAAGATATATTCCCTCGTGGTTGTTTATTTGAAAACATGCGTTTTACACTTTTTGCATACAGAATGCAATTAGTGATAGATGACCTCTAACAGCTGTTTCTGTGGTTGGGAACAGCTGTTTTTCTGTAAACACGATTTCTTTTGCGGTGCTCTCCCACTATATCTTTATACCACATGACCACGTAAAGTTAGATACGCTATGACGTTTTTCACGTGTTTCTCATTCCGAGTTGAAAAGAAAATGCCGAACAATGGAATGGAATCTCTCGGACGCGATGAATCAAATTTTGACTGCGTATCCTAAAGTACGATATTTACAAAGGGCTTTTCTAAACTTACAATGACTTTTTCTTCCTTTATTTCTTCAGATTTTTTCCTTTGAAGAAAAAAACTATAGAACAAATTATATAGGATAATTTATTACATGTTTTTATATAGGAGACAAGTATAATTCTGTCGGGGTATTTTATAGTAAAAAGAAAAGAAATGAAAGAAACATAGATATTGTAAAAAATACAAAAAGAACTTAACGATTGTAGAATTTAATTAATTGATTAATTATTAAAAAATTACAGACACACACATACACATACACATTTTTCGGATCGATTGATCTTTTAGGTCAAGTTATTCGCAAGTAGAAGTGACGTTCGAGTAATAAAAAAGAGAGTGTAGGAGGAAAAGAGAGGAAAGGGATGTTCAGGCACCCTGTGCGAACTTCGATCGTGCCTTTTAGATGATCTGCGCAGCTCCGCCCTGCGCGATTTTCTGATATAGAAGCGTTTCGGCGCGGGGGAGGCGAGAGAAACGTTCTCCATTTAATCCCAGAATCCACACCGAGATGATTGTCAATTAACATCGGCGCAATTTCGCACGCGTATTCAGAAAATTGCACTATCCGCGTGAAAAATTGAGTTTTTTTTTCTACGAATTTTTCGGAACGCACCCGATATTTAACTAAAGAATTATTCGTTTTGTAAAGACTGTCTTATTTTGACGCTGAAAAAATATCTTGATGCGAGACTTGCATTTATTTATCTTGATTCGGTAGCGTATAGATTTTTCTTCGATATTTTTCGAGGAATTAAAATCGGAGATTTTCGAGACGAAAATATTATTTTACGAAAACATTTACTTATTACGATAACACCCTGCTCAACGATAGTCGAGCCAGTGTCGTTAAATCACGATGATTACGGCATTGGTCTTTATTGCTCGGAAGTAGGCAGTTTTCATTTCAGGGACTTTCGTTTATATATATATATAGGTACAACGAGATCTAGAAAGGAACGATACTAGGGCTACTGATTTAGCATTGACGAGTCGTTTTACGCTCTTGATGTTTGGTAATAGCCATTTAACACTTTCAGATGCAGGTTGCGAGAGAAATTACGCGTCGCGATTTTCCCAGATGAATTCCTCTCGAATGCTCTCGAAATTCCTTCTCATTCGAGGTGGAGAGATTTAAAAAAAAATACGCGGCAAAAAATTCATCACGATCTTGAAATTCAAAATTAATTTTATTTTGTTTGGCGTGTTATATCCGTTAAGTAGATTTATTGTGGATAAAGGAAAGTCACACTATGTATATCACATGTTATGAATGACACACATGTGATCTATTTATATAATATATAAATATATTTAAAGTTCCTTTTGATAGGAAAATATTCGCGTAAAAGGAAAATGAAATATTGAAGTTTAGCAGAATTTTAACACATCGTAATTTTTAGAATATAATTAAAGCGAAAATCTTGATTTTATTAGTGAATGCATAAATATATCAATGTACTGCATAGTGTAATTTATTATCAGGTACGTTAAAATTGAATGCACGAATACTTTTATTGCTTCCAACAAGACGAAGGATCTTAAATACATCGCTAGAAAAACAAGAAGATGGTAGTTATATAATATTGTTAATAGGCTTATTATATACCAACACAGTCACCACACATTAATCCAGCTGAGGATCTTTGGCTTGAGTTGGATTTCGTTTCGCATTTGTTGGATATATACTTCGAATATATCCCGAGCAACTTTATTGTTCTATTATAGATAAAAAATAACCTTGAGCATTTTGCGCGCCGTTTCTTTAATAATCTTATAAAGAAATGTAAATTTTATTGATACTCGGATTGAAGTCTGATTACTCGCAATGGATTTAATCAATTCGTGCGATCTCGTAAGCGATTTCATGTACAAAACCACGTGTATTAAAATGGTGCATTCACAAGGACACTTTGATTCTTTTCATTCTTTGCACGTATAAAGCAATTGAGCCATGCAAATTAATTATATGTAAGCGAAAAGAAATATTACTCAAGTATTACAGAGAATGCCAAGTTTTTATACCATTAATTTGCATCAATTATGAATTATAGAATTTATTATTATATTAATTATTTATTATAGAATTAATGATATCGATGCGATCGCTAAAACAGTTCGATTCTACATGAAAAAATATTGGAGAATGTAACTTTAGTTCTTCTAATAAACAAAAAAGATAGAAAGAGAGGAGGGGAAGAGGGATTAATTTAAAAATTCTTTGCATATTTTCTGAATTCTTTAGCACCAACAATTTTTATTATACTCAACGCAATTTTTAAACATCTCTTTAATTTTGCAAAAATCCCGAGAAGATTAATAACATTTTGTGGAGTTCACGCGCAATGTGACCCTTGAAGAATTAAGCGCGAATTGCGTGTGGCACTTTATTGTTAACAGAGCCCAGGCTCCGGTTACGTTAACGCTCGTCGATGAATTATTCAGCGTGCACAAATCCACGGAGAAGAATAGTAATTCTCGCGAAATTGTCAGAAGTCAAGGTCAAAAACGTCGAGAAGCGCGCGCGATTTGGCACTTGTGAAATTTCTCGACAGCCCGAACCGAATCCCCGACCGCTTGGATTTCGCACGCTGAAATTACGCGGCATTGCGTAATCGTGCGCGAGGATCGTCCGCGGTAGCACGTTACCGCTCGTTGTTTATCGTTTGGTTCACCCGATGCTCTTTCATGATGTATAGTGGCAGAGAAGACCGTGATATATTCCTATACACGCTGAAACAAAAATTATTAAATTAATAAATATTTATTTCAATGCTGCTTAAATGATTTTTATTGGAAACAAATATTTATTTATTTTGAGAAGTATTTTCTTACATCAAATAAATATTATTAGTTTCAAATAAATGATTTATGAAGGAGTATCGAATATAAATATTTATAAGAATTCAAATACATTTTTTTGTGCAAGAACATTCTTTTTATTCATACTTTTTAAAACTCTTTTTTATCATATATTTCTTGTTTATATTTTTTCCAAATACTGCTCATTAATTTTATGTAAATGACTCCTTTTCTCTATATATTTATGTGATGGGTCTAAAAAAAGACTGACGCGGGAAAGTTTTGCGAAATAATTTTTTAAGCTGCTGTTTTACAAATTTTTATATTCTAATAATTCTCAGAATTTATATGTGCACATTATATACGAGATAAAAGTAAATTTTCGAATATATTTTCCAGTATCTATATCCATTGATTTTTACCTAACATAAGTGCAATGTACATAGAACCATGTCCTCCCGATATTGTCCACTTTACTTTTAATCACTTCCCCTTTTATTTTATATACTCTCCCACTACTTTATACATTTTCATTCTACTATCGCGGTCACGTGGGAAATGCGAAATAGTGGGAGAACAACGGAGAGCAGCGTAAGAGGAAGTGGTTAAGAGTAAAGTGGATGACATTAGTGAGTTCTCGGCACACATTCTTTTCATAGTTGAAACACACTCTGGCACTATCTATCTCTTGTTGGGAACCACGTGTACCTGTTTGTGTGTCCTCACTGTTCTATTTTATTCTCGTTATGTCAATGCTTTTTTCCATATATCCTCAATCATATTTTTCTAAAATTTTAAATTAAAAAAAATCGAGAACTCAGGCGTGCACTGAAGAAAAATGTAAGAAAAATTGCGAGACTTCGTCTACGAAACTTTTTGAGATACAAATCATTGATTTTTGATCGTTTTTTTTTCCAAGAAGTACGCATTATAGTTTCATGTATTTTTTCTTCACAAAGCTTAGACGGCGATGTAATCACCGTGGAAAGAAACGCAAACTTAATGCATACCATTTTGCTTTGCGTATTTAACAATGCAATGCGTGCGCGCGTTTACTTTTGCCTCCGCCTTTGATGCGATGTATTTATACTATCAAGTGGTTCGAGCGCTCTGAACTTGCAATAATATTTATCTATGGCAGAGCAACTGCTCGCAAAAGTCTCCATATATTCTATATATACAAGGTGTCCTAAAATTCTTACTTTTTCTCAATCGCACAGACTATCTTTCTTAATTTTTTTTCTTAAAGAGGATTCAACGCGAAATTACTTTGCAATCTTCGCAATTCAATCAATCTTATCCCCCGTACTTTGGCTATTTAAATGAAAGAAATGAAAAGGAAAAGAGAAAATCAGAATAGTTGCATTATAAGCTGCTTTGATATATCTGACATATCATTTCATAATACATTAATTAAATATTTTATATTATATAATATATAAAAGATACGATTAATGTTCTGAGATAATTAAAAATATTACAAAGTTTTGTCTGCAGAATTTCTTTGTGAATATCATCGTATATCTCATGAATAGCACATGGTGTGTTGATAAGCACTGAATGCATGTTCGTGGCAGAGATAACACGCTCTTTTTATTAATAACCGTTAAGTACACTAAGATTATAGCCACTCGTGCTTTTGCATCTGGCTGTTTTATTATTAGCGACAGCTCTTTCTCGCGTTAATTATATGCCAATATTATATATTCATTGTCTCCGTTTGCCGTGTCTGATGACAGGTCAATGTCTGACGGAAGCTTTTTTTTAAACATAATGATCCAGTCACATTTCCTAATACGAAATGATTACAAATCTCATTAATGTTATTATTTTATTTCATAATTACTAAAATACGATTAAAATAACGTAAAGTGCAGTTTAAAATAAATATATATGAATATATATACCCATTTTTTAATAGAGAATATTAAACAGATTTTTTTTTTCTATAAGCTTGTTACAAATTTTTTCGATTCGAAATTTCTAATACTTGAAGTCTTAGTTTTTTTTTGCAAATTTAAAAGTTTTCACGTTATCACTAATTTTCAACAGTCATTGCGACGTTTATAAATTTTAATTTGTATACTCTTTAAGTAAATCACGTTTAAAGGTAAAAAAAACTTTCAAATTAAAAAAATAGATATCTCTCGACTCTCTTTAAATTTAAATGGCTTATATTTACCCTACTGAGAAAATAATTCCAAGTATCTCATCGCGTTGTTCCTGAAAGAATTGCAATAAATTTTACGAATGCAGTTTATTTTTGTAGCACTAATTCTTTAATAACCGATAATGAGATAATTACGTAATTTTGATATCTGAAATATCTCTATAAATATTCTTACATCATGACTCAGAGTTTTATCTGACACTTTGACAGATGTATATATACATATGGCACATATACAAAACTAACTTAAACATAAGAGACTAACAATTAAATAACATACATTAAATTATACATATATTAAAAATTAAATAATTATATATTATACATATACTAAATCAATATAAAAAAACTTTTAAATTGAAAAAATAGATATTTCTACCCTCTTTAAATGACATATTTACACTGTTAGGAACATAAAGAAGTTTGAAATGTGTCTAACAAATGCGCAGAGCTGTACATGTATGAATATTTAAATTGCGATGATATGTTCCACACATGGAAATGTCAAGCGAATATGAATTTAGTTAAAATGTTAAGTCATACGTTTGACAAGCAGTGTACTCGCGCAAATTACTCACGCGGTAAAAAAAGCGGGCACGTGGTGCGGCTTACTTACTGTATACATATTCGTCGGACTTGTTTACGCTGGCATCCTTACAACGAGACAATTGATTTTGGTCGTAAAATGAGTTGCGCGAGAGAGTGCGAACACGACGCCAGGAGAAGAAGGGTGTTGCTGCAACGCGATAGCAACAGATGTGCACAGTAAGCGGTTAAAGCGTTATCTCGGAACTCGTGCAAATTTACGAGCTTTAGGCGATGTTGCAATCGGATGCATTATTATTCAGTCCTATTTAGCTGTATTGCGTAATTGCCGCGGAAGGGAAGAATTTACAATCTGAACGAACAATTTCTCTCAAACCACATTCTTGAATTCTACGGTGACACCGCATCCGTCCTTTATTTTAAAAGACAGTCCTTTATTTCACGTGGCTGTCCTTTATAAATTTATTCATTTTTCCAAAACTCAATTTTGTCCTTTATTTTTTATTTAGCGTTTTAATAATGTTGTACACTGAAAAAAATATTGAATTCAAATAAATATTTATTTCAATACTGCCTAACAAGTCATTTATTTGAAACTCTTAATATTGATTTGATATGAAAAATATTTGTTTGATATAAGAAAATCCTTTTCAAAATAAATAAATATTTGTTTCGAATAAATAATTTATTAGGCAGTATTGAAATAAATATTTATTAATTTAACAATTTTTTCAATGTACATTAACATGAGAATTTGAGAAACGAAAACAACGGAATCTCTTACCTGGAATTTATTTAAGAAATCAAGGATTTGTTTGAACATAGTCGAATCAGTTTCAAACTATATAAAGAATAATATGTACATTTCTGATAGTCACAGAATTCTTTTTTTTTTTTGCTCGTTGATTTCTTTTGGTCGCAAATTGATTTGTGGAAACATATTGGAACAAAGGCCTAAAATTTTCAGGTTTGTTCTTTATCTTCTCTTAGAAAATATAGTCACCGTAATTATATCTGGAAATGTACACATTATCTCTCTGAGCAGTTCAAACTTGAATTTTAGATAAAATAGCAAACTAAAATTAGGTAACTATTATGAGAAGACAACAAACGAAATGATTATTTATTTGTAACGCGAATTAAGATAGATAATATTTCCTTTTACAAATGTAAAAAAGTAAAATATGTTACTCTGACTTGTGCTAATTAAGTGAATATTTTTTTCTATCTCATTGTCAGATAGCTCTGTTTTGAATGCATATAATATTTTTCTCCTGTCTCGTATGTTTATAGTCAAGTGACAAATATGAAGTACAATAAAAAGAAAGGAAGAATATAAAAATATAGAATAAAAGATACAGAAATTTGGCTGTATATTTTATGTCATAAGTGAAATATTTTATTCTCTTATAGTTATGATGAAATAAATGTTTACTTCATCATAAGACAAATTTTTCGTTTATTAGAAGTTAGCGAGTTATCTCTTCAATGTAATAACCGAATTCAAGCTTTATTTAATATTTCATTTACTAAAAGTTAAAATAGTCAATCTCATAAAAATGCCATTCTATTTCGCTCACTCGATCTTATTTCATTTTTACCTAGACAAATTATTGGCAAGATTTTAAACAGCTCCTGAAAAATAAAATTTTAGAAAATAAAATACTTCTATTAGAAAATAGCGACCAGTATTGTAGTAAATGTATTGTAGCTCTTGGAGACTTTCACAAATCGTTGAAATCTTTTTCTCGATATATGTATAAAAAATCTCCGAGAGCTACAATAATTTATTTTTTTATTTTTTCACCCATCTTTAAGAGACTATAACTCGGAAGCAAAACATTTTTAGACCCATATTTATATAGGAACTTTTTTTCCTATTTTGACTCTTAGAATACACCCTTAAAATCTCTGACATCATTTTAGAAACGCCCTGTATACTTCATATGGATTTTTCTCTTCCAGATGAAAATTGAAACGTCCCAGGACCTGACGTAGATAGCAGGTGGGTGCGTGAAAATCGCCGGAGCGGCCGCCATGAGAAAATTCGCGCCGTAGTTAAGCGATGTTAGTGACTGCCTCCCCGATGGACAATCCTTCGAACACATTGTCGGTGCTCGAGGAGGAGGCGGCGAACATCGACGACGCGTTCCCGCCACACGTCGATACCAGCAACATTGTCATACAACCGGAGTCGCCTACCAACAAGAAGCAAGTCTTGAAGACCTTTGCCGACGTAAACGCGCTGCTACAAGCCAACAGAAAGCGGGAAGCAAAGCTGATCATACGGGAAAACGGCTGGCCGCTCAACAACGGTATCAGGGCGCAACTCTGGCCGGCGCTCTGCAATCAACATTCACATGGCAAGAACATGCTTGACGGATTCTACTGGGACATGGTGAATCAAGTCTTTGGAACAACAGGTTGGCAGATACGCTAGAAGCTTTTTTTTCCTTCGACTCATATTTTTTTCACATTTATTGACGTGTTTATACTGTCTATCGTAAAGGAACAAATGAATATTATATATTATATTATACATATAATAACATTTTTGATACATAGAAACATTTATAAAAATATTATTGAATTTCTACAACATAATTATTGATAGACATACTGACATTTGAAACACGAAAGCTTCAAATAGTAAAGATTCCAGATTTTTCAGCAGAATAGTATTTAATATTTTTCTGTTTTTTTTTTTTTTTTTTTATAATTGTTAACTGTACCTTCTTGCTCTGTAAGAGGTTCTTAGACATTTATATAACGTTTAAAATAATTTGTCTGTGCAGAATTACCAGAAAAGTCAATCATGCTACCACCGTTCGTCGATAGTACACATTGTTTATCTTACAATTTAACGATAAAGGGCAGAAACGTTGCGGACAGAATCGTATCAGTCTTAGGATACGCTTGTCCTGACATCACGTACAGCCCATCCCTTTATCCATTAACTGCACTTCTCTTGCATTTCGTGCCAGGTGAGTTAAAACTAATTGTAAGTTGTGCTGTAAGTCAATAATAACTTGACACATTAAAGCAGTTACATAAGAATGTAATTATTTCTCGCTTTACTAACAAAATATCGCGAATTTGTGGCCAAAAGGAAATTACGGTAAAAAGCGAGAAATAATATATATTTTCTTTTTTTCGGTAAGGGAAAATCGACTCAAAATTGGCCAATGAAGTCGCAGTTGAAAGAAAATGCTTAGTGAGGGCAATCTGTATATACAAAGTGAGTCATGCAGTTTGAACAGGTCATATTTTTTTATAATTGACGATAAAAAATACAGTAAAGATTTAATAATGTTTAACTTCGACTTAATTTTTTCAATCTTGAAAGTTTTTCCCGAGAAAATATAAGAGTCGCGAAAAATTTGTATTCTATATTTTTGATTTATATTTATGCGAAGATTCGTTTTTCTTGCGCATACACATACACAAAACACGTATGGACATACATATAGTATGTATATTGCGATACATTTGTATACATTTGTACACAGAAAGATATGCAATGTACTCATGAATCGATACTATTAGTTACTAATTGCAATTACTTATAAGAACTTTTGTCAGTTGCATATGTAATTTACAATATTAACTTTTAATTGAAAATCATTAATAGATTAATTGCGATTTTACGCATCTTATAATGCAATGTATTGAGACTGAAAATATAAGTAGTAAATTAATCATTTATTTAAATGATAATAAAAGATTATTACTAATAAACTGCTATTTATATTATTTTTGGCATATTATTTTTAGAGGAGGAATGTTATCACTGTATGGCCACTTTGGTAGCAGCCAAAGAGAAAATGTTCATCACGCAAACTAAACTCCTTTACGAAGTCACGTGGAAAACGGTAGAACAGATTACTAAAAAACACGTTGTAAGTAAAAATCAATTCTTCAAGTTAAAGTTACAAATAGTAATACTTATTCCTAATTAGTTTATTTCTATCTCTTTCTTCTTTCTTATATATATTTTCTTTATATAATAAATTATTATATAAAATTATATTATTATATAAATATTACATTGATTATTGATTATATAAATTATAGTTATTAATAAATATAATATACATATAATGATAATTCATCATTTTAAGAAATCAGCTGCTGTACATTTAACGAGGCATTGTTCCGGCTCAAGAGCGGAAAGAATCTACATGGATTGGATCTGGTGGATTCTTCAACTTCTTCCATTTCAACATCTAGTCAGGGTTATGGACTGTTTTCTTCATGAAGGCATTAAGGTTTATATATTTTTCATCTTTAATTTTTTATTCTCACTCTCTTTTTCCCTCTGTATTAACAGGCACTAAAGTTTTTGATATATATATATCAAAGATCTACTTATATAATAATTTGTCATATTCAAAGAATTCCGAGAACTAATTTGAACTATTCGAATCAACGGAAAATTCCGTTAACATTAATTCTGACTGTATTCAAGTCAAAACTAGTCAAAGAACTGCTTGACGTGAGACCGTTCATCTAACATACGTATGAAGTATGAGAAAAATTGGCGTTCCTCCAACTGATAGATAAAGATGAACCGCATGTTATATGTATTCTGTGCAATGCACTTATATTCTAGGAATAGTACAAATGTTAAATTCGCGCGTGATGATTGATTTGATGCCAGCTGAAAGTTGTTTGCGGACATTTTTGTGCTCTGTATATCAGATTGTGCATAAAATTGTTCTTTTTGGATAGATATCCGATCATTGTATAGTACATTAAAAAATTGCGACATTTTGTTTTACAAGATTTGAAATGCACAGAATGTGGATATTAGTAGTTCTATGATACTATAGCACACATAATGAATAATTTGTGCGATAGCTGCAATATTTATCTCATTTTTTATATGCTTATTATTATTAATTGTAGGTATCATTTCAGTAATAATCATAAGCAAAAATTATTTTTTTATGTGCAGAAATATACTTTTTAAATACGAGCATTAAATTATTATAAAGAATGTAATTGCCGTAGTATATAATTATCATAAAAATAATCGTAATTAAATTTTTATTTTTAGGTCTTCTATCGGGTTGCTATGGCTATAGTTTTATTATTCTATAAGCACTCTTCACCGCAGAGTTCAGAATGGATGAATGAGATTTCGAGGAATGGTATAGACGCTGCTCTATCTAAGTTTTGTAGACAAATACCAGTAAGTAATAAAATATGTATTGTGTTTGTCAATAGTTTCATCTATCATCTAATTTGACATACTTGTATTTTCAACATTTCAATTTCTTTTAATATTTTTTCCTGTTTTTACACATGGATCACAGTCTATAAAACCACCTTGATAAAAGAATCTTTTTCTGGATATTAGCCTCTTTATATTTTAATAGATATTTAGTTCGAAACAATAGATTTCTTCTTATCTTTTAAAAAATATTTTATTTAAATATACAAATAGGAAAATATAAACCATATTTTTGTCCTTTTATATTAGGTACAAATTTATTTACTGCATAATATTTGTTGCATTATTTTTTTATAAAGAAATATTTATTTTCTGTTACACTTTATAATGTTGCAAAATCTTAATTTTCAAGAATGCTAACAATTGTATTATCAATTTTCAGGTGACGCCTGCCAAGTTTTTGCGCACCGCCTTTGGGATTCGCGGACTCAGCTCAGCATACATATCACGGGTCTTTCTACGCACGGAAATGGCTCTCAAAAGTAAGAGTGTCCTGACGGGATCCCGATCTTTGGCCAGATCGCGCTCGACAGACAATCTGCCTACCAGTCAATCCCAAGTCAACATTCAGATGATGTCACACACACTCACAATACGAGAAGTATGTTGTTCATCTATCTATCCCGTTTTACTAACTTTTTGTATTTAGCTGAATTTATTAATGACATTTTGCTTATATATATATTAGCATTTTCATTGATTAGAATACTTGGAATTTTAATATCATATATTTAGATTGTCCCAAAATGACCAAATATCTTTTTTGTGAATTCTTTGGCCGACTTTTCCCAGAATATTTTTTCCAAGAAAAATTAACCCCCAGAACACTTATAATTTGCAAATATTTATTAACTAAAGAACGAGAAAAATGATTTGATAGGCAGGATAGTGATATAAACGTGATCATTAAGATACTTAGAAAAATGTTTTTGCAAATATTTATTAATTATATACAAATAAAAGAATAGGTTTTTTTACTTTGATAGGTAGTATTATTACTTTGATATAAATGCGATTAATCGCTAACATAGGAAAATGGTATTAATAAAAAATAATTTTTACAAATAATAATTTTCAGCATGTTTTTGTGGATGTAATACACACACATCGTGCACAAAATTTTTGTATTTAATTTTTATTATATTGGATATTCTGAAGAGATGTGTATAGAATTCTGTTAGTGGAATTTTTAATATATCTTTTTATAATTGTTAGATATTAAATTGATTATGCATTTATTTAATAGTTAACATTTAAATCAAAACTTTACAGAAAACAACTACTAAAAATTAATTGATAGATACAATTTTATTTTATCTTTTTATCTTATTTAGACTTTTTTATTTATTCTTTTATTTAATTCCTTTTATTTAAAAGAATGACTTGAACAAGTCTAAGTTCTAAATTGCGTGTTTAAATCAGTGTTAATGTATTTACAATATGATATATATTATAAAAGATTTAATATAAATTCAATATAAAACAAGCAATTATCTCATTTTTTAACAAATTAATATTAAAATTTAAATAATAACTTAAAATTAAACTGCAATATTTCCTATAAAAATATTAATTCCACAAAAACAGAACTTTATTGTAAGCATCTGAAACCTATAATTTGTATGCACGAGTGTAATTTTAATTGACGAAACTTTTACAGATAGCAAATATGAAGTTTTTATAATTTTATATGGTATGCAATGTTTTATTATCCCGGTATTAATTAACCAACCCATTTTATTTCTTAAAAAGAAATGGAGATATATAACAAATAAAACTTATATTTAATAGTTTGTGTGAATTGATCTATTGTAAGTATAATAATAATCTATAAAAATTGCTCATACTGTGAAAGAAAAAGGCAACTTTATTCAAAAAATTATAGTATATTGCTGTTTAATAAAAAATATAGTTATGTATTTCAAGTATCGGTACAAATTTGATCTAACAGAATTTATTTAAGAATCATATTTTTATCCGGTTTTTTAAATGTTTTTTATGATTTCAGATAATTAATGACAGATTATTTTTTGCGCAAATGATTTTTTTATAATTCACGATCAAGTTTAAATGCTATCAGTAATTAATTGTTATAAAACGCTATTATCTAATCAAAATATTTGATATTCCAAAAATTAATATGAATATTTTTAATAATGAAAGAGAAAAATAAAGATACTCAATATAGATTTATAAATCGGTGTTACATTTTTATAATAGAGCTCAGTTTAAACGATTAAATATAAATTTTATTTTTTATAATCTATCTCCTTCAATTTAAGAAATGATAAAAAGTCTTTTATGCTTGGTTGCTCTATATAATTCCTCTTACTTTGTAACAATGATTGAAACAGCTATAATTCGTTGAGTTCGAATTTCGATGTTACAGGTATGCGAGAAAAGACTTTATGGCGATTATCGCGTTTCATTTGCTCACGCATAAACGTAAGAATCATTATCATGTGCATGCCTATGATGTCCAAATCTCAACTCGACGAAATTTCAGAATGCTACAATAAATCATGATACCACCAAAAAGCAGATAATTTCTCATGAAAAAAAAAACAAGTACAAGATATTGATTTTTCCTGATTTTGAATTTTTTTTACATGAGAAAAATTGTTTGTTTAACTCGATTGTATCATAATTTATTAGATCATCCTGTATACTGGTTTCAATCTCCGCTTTGTACAGTCCAGCGTGTTAAAGTAGACTCTTGTAGGGTTTGTTGAACCTCTGAATCTCTCAATGATTCCATTTGTTTTCAGAAAGAATGTGAAGACACGTACAAAGACAGGGTATTGTATAATTATCTTTTTGGGAAATGTGTTGTCAATTTCATTGTGCTCTGCCCTTATCCTTTCCTCTATTATACTCTGAGATATTATTTATATTACACTCATATTGTCTATTCACTCATTGCCATACATTTGTCGTGCCAGCTTTGTCGCTGTTATTACTTATTTATTCGCAATGATTCCTCTAATACGTCTCCTTATCGCGATTCAACAGTAACCAACATAATCTCGCAATGTCTACTGCAACGCATAATGTGAAACTCTCGCTGGCTTTTCGATGTGGCTCCACGTGTATCGATGAGAGTTGCGAGTTGAAAGTATAATATGAATATAAAAAAATCAGGATCTTAAATGATTTTTTAATCGAGCCTTGCTTAGCGAGCGTTTAATATCAATTTCATTTCCCTCTCTGTGTGACCTATTACAAATTCACAATTCTATTTTTTAAATGTAACTCTATTGTATCAATGCAGGTATTTTATTAGCTTTATAGAGGATGCTTTTCGTAGATATAACTCTATTCACATACATCGTATTTGTCATTCGACAAACATCTAAATCATATTCTTTGTATTTTATTACACATTTCTTTGTATATTGTAGCCCATGAATTCACAATTCTATTAATAGAATTAAAAGCGAAACACATAGATGAGAAAATATCATATTTCTAATTTTTAGGTACACATAAATTGTATAACAAAAATTACAATTTTTTTGATAGTTTCGTTGAGGAAAGGATCCCCAAAATTTATCATAGAAGCCAATGTGATTAAAAATGTTGGTTTTACCTCCATATTCTCTCTTATATAGTTAACAATATTTTTTGTGTAGAAAAGGAATTTAGAACTGGTGATAATGATAGATACGTCTTCATTGTAGATACTGAAATGTTATTTTTTACTCTGTTAGGAGATTATGAGTTTCTTCTGGTATTTCAAAAGATTTTGCACTGACCTCAAATTTTTTATGTTCTAAAACTATGTTGAAACTAGAGGGAATGATTTTTATACATATAACAATTGATCAAGGTTTATGCACACACACACACACACACACACACACACACAAGTTATCTATTAATCCAATCTCTATTCACCGAAATAGCCTTTTTAATACATTTCATAAAAATGTATTCTACCAAAAACAAATTAGAGCATGCCAAATGATTCTATTTTGATGTATAGTGTATAGTAGCAAGAAAAAAGAATTTATATAATTTTTCGCTAATATAATTTTTATATGAATCTAACAGTAATGTAGCAAAATTAGGAGCCCTATACTATCATCTTATCTATCTAAAGACAACAGGATTGTTAATATTAAATTCACGAAAATGTATTATTCGTAATGAGTGAAAGAAGGAAATTTGCACACCTTGCCTTCTTTGTTTTAATTTATACGATGAAAAAAATATCCATTCCCCACGGAATATTCGTGCGGTAGGTACATGCAAATTACCGTTTGCACCGGTACCATTAACGCGCTGAGCACTGTACATCGATGTAACTGATGTGTTTGTGCTGTCTTGTGTTGTGCTGCCTTCACTGGAATGATGGATTAAATGATACCGGGTATATAGGGTGCGCACAGTCCTGGACCACGCGCCCTGTCAATGGGTGTTTACCCCATACAAAGTATATGCTCCCAGATCCTAGATTTGCCTGATGTAAGTATTCTCATACTCGGCCGTCCTTTCATTGATCGAATTGAAATTCGAAAGCTCCGTCGAGTAGCATAGGTCTTTAGATCTTTGGGCTTGTATTGTCGTTATTATACATGCAATTGTCAAGAAATGTATATTGTACATATGCAGTGCGTTTTTCAGAACGTCATTGAAATACTTTGTACAATAATCTTTGCGACATCATTTTTTTGAGATAGAGAATGTAATCAGAAGATTTATTTTACGCGTTAAAAAGTCTTGAAAGATATAAACAGAGGCATATCATTTGAAATAAAAATGTGATTGATAATAATAGATAAATAATTTTTAAAATTAAATATTTCCCTGTATTGAAAAAAAGAGAGTTTTTAAAGAGGAAAATTGAATAAAAAAAGAAACAGAATGGCAGCTAAAAAGAATGCATTTATCATCGCTAGCGCAAAAATCCATGTTGACGTCTCGTTAACATCCATCTATATTTTTATCTCTAACCGAGTGATGCTGTGCCCTGACTGTGTTGCATGACGAATGACATTATGCACTGATTTTGCAAAAGGATACAGATGTTTATTTTCGCCAGCATATCATATCTGTTGTATCATTACATGTTTTGATAACATCCTACATGCGAACTATAAAGACATTTTATTATTAGAATTAGTATTTATAAGAAAAATATTTGCGAATAATATATACATATAAATAGGAAACGTACTAATTATTTTCTTATTTTGTATATATACTTTTTATAGAGAATATGTGTGCGTATGTGTAAATATATAGAGATATGTATGCATATGTGTAGGGCATTATACAAAAACAATTTAATCAAAGTATTGATATCAGAATAATTTAGCATAAATTAATTCATTACGAAGTTTAAGCGCTGATATGCATAATAAATTACGAATTGATACACAAAACTGCTACTATGTCAATTGTAAGCAATTGACATGTAAAAAATAAGATAGCAAATGTTATATTATTTTTATAAAAAAAAATTATATATATATATAGTGTATATATATATATAGTCGAGTTCTTTTTCGCGACATGTATGCGTAAGAAGAATTAAGATATTTTTTGAAAATATCTATATTTCTCAATTAGATTACACGTGTTATAAGTATGTTTACATCTCACAGTCAAATCTTTCATGATTATACCATCTATAAAATGGATAATTGCCAACAAATAAATTTTGATATTTTTTTGCTTTTTTATCATTTTATTATGGAAAAATACAGTAAAGGGATAAGTGCTAAAAAGCAAAAAAAAATGATAGAGATTTTCTCAAAAAATATCTTTAACTCAATCATATATATTGTATTTTTGTATCTTTCACTGATTCTTATATATTTATATTATATCTTATACGACTACGTTCAACAAACAATGCATTTTATTATTATTGAAAACAAATAAATCAATATCTTTATTAACATATCAGTTACTGTATTTTTCCGTAAAACAATAATCATTTTATTTTAATGTCACAATCGAGCGCATGTTTTACCGTGATTTAGTTTGCTCTTCTTATTAGCCGTTAAAAACTAATGTTTGCACAATTATAAAAATTGATCTTTTACTTTCTATGTCCGATTAATTATTTGAATTTGTTTATTTACCAGTTATTTACCTTATGGTCGTGGCTACCGCTGAGAATCACGATGTACCAGCCTATTTTGTTGTACACGACCGAGGAACATGGATGCTCCTTAACGACGTTCTATGTGCGAGTTGAGCAACACGAGCCCACCCTCCTTATGATAAAAACCTGTAACAACGAGGTAAAAGAATATTTTTACTGCTCAATGAGTATTTATTTACTTTTTCTCTCATTATATTTCTCTCACTTATATCCCAAAATATATAGATAATAATTCTCCTTCGAAAGAAAATTTAATTGCACTATTATATTTTCTCTCCTAAACCAAATTGTGTATAAACTTTTTCTTATTTTATATAGTTTATAAAATAATTTTTACTGTATATTCTAAGATAGATGAATGTATATGTTTGTTATGTACACTTATTGTAATAATATTTTGATTTTTACTTGTATAAATAAATAAATTGAATTATATATAAAACATATTTTGATAATTAAATTAATAATAATAATTTAATTAGATATTTTATTATATATAGAGATCTTAAAAATTAACATTTTATTTTATTAATTTTTAAATAATGCTTTTTAGGTATTTGGAGCTTACTGTTCCACAAGATGGTGCGAGCGTAATTTGAAGGATGATAAAGGACAAAGACAAGCGTACTTTGGTACTGGCGAAACATTCCTGTTCAGTTTGTATCCTGAGCGAGCCAAGTATCCTTGGGTAGGCATGGATTCATCACACAACGACTCCAGAGTACATCACTCGGCCGAACTATTTATGGCCGCAGATTCGAAAATGATAACTATCGGTGGCGGGTGAGCTATAATATAAAATAATTTACTGCACGATAATAAAATCATTGATAAGACTGTCGTAATATTCAATACGTAAATATATATTTAAATAAAATAAAATAAATTGCGATGAACGTATAAATTATTTAGGAATTAAAATTGTTTTGTAACTAATAGATTTAAAACTAATTTATAGAGAAAAAAATATTTAAAAAAATTCTATTTATAAAATATTATATTCCTGTCTCATTAATTAAAATTATTGATTTAGAGTAAATTATTATAACATACTATTTCAGTATAATCATTTTGTTTCTGATCCTCAGAGATGGTCAGGCGATCTGGATGGATGAAAACATAAGATTCGGCAAGACAGATCGATGTTCAACCTTCAACAATCCACCTCTCTGTGCCAGTGGTGACTTCGAGATCAGAGTGTTGGAAGTGTATGGTTTTGCGGGTGCCTAAAGAGGGGGAACAAACAGCGGTGTATTAGTTTGTTTATTCCCTACTGCCATTTAACGACTCTCTTTCTACATATGCATACTAAACGTACTGTGTTATGTGTCATAAATGTGTCTCTGCGTATCGCCCTCTCTAGGAAACCAGCATGCAAACTACGCACAATGTAGAATTTATTCCAATGCAGAAGGACAAAAGTATATATTTGGTTGTATATAGACATATACACACAATCTGCATTTTCTTTCTTTTTTTTTTCATTTTCATTTTCAGATTATTAGATAGTACAAGTACATTAATTTGATATTAAAATTTGAAAAGAATATTAGTACATGTGTATATATTTATACAGAAAATTTAAGTACAGAAAGAAAGATGAAAGTATAAACAATTTTATATATATATATATGTATATATATATGTTAGAAAAAAAATTTGATTGTTCTACATTAATAATGTAATATCAAATGTATCATATTCATGTGTATCTACAACCATCCAGATTTTTTGTATACATCTGATCTATAGTATATTCTTATGTATTAAATGTAGAAATGTTTCAAAAAAATTTTTACGGTTTTTTTTCTAAACAAAACTATTTAATCTTAAAAATAATTTCCGTCAAATATGATTTCTGAAATGATCACCTGATATCCTTATCAAATTAAATTTTACTAGATTTAGCTTCTGTATATATATATATATATATATATATATTTAATCGAACAATTAAAAAAAATGGTCCTATTTATAGAAAACAAAAATATTACAATTTTTCGCATATATGATAGAGAAAAGTATGAAAGTGAAAACTGATTAAATCTTAATCTTATTTAGAGATCTTATAATAAGAGTCTGAATGTAAAATAGCAACCTGATTGATCCGCATTTTTCGTCAATTCGCGTCAGTTTCTGCAATATCTATTATCAAATATAATAAATTAGTATTTCAAAAAATATCTTTTAAATCTCTTAGAAATATTTTCATAATATAAAACTACCGCACATCCAATTATTGTTATTTGTACACAGTATAAATAAGATAAATAAGATTTTAAAGTTAAATAGTATTACTGCAGAATGAGATAACACATATTTCTCTTTCTCTCTGTCTCTCTCACAGAATTTTGACGAAAAATATCGGACCTTTGTAGTGTTGTTATTGTATTACCAAACTTTTATTATAATTTCTCCATTTTATTAAGCATAAAGTGACATCTATACCTATAAATTGTTAATTTAAAATTATTGTATAATTTATTAAAACTGAAATGATAAAATACAAAAATTATAATAATTATAATTTACTAAAATATGAACTGGATATAATATTTGTTTAAATACCACATATAAATGTAATAGGTGTACATTTATTCACATTTTTTGTTAATTCTAATATAATGAAGCTGACAAAGCAATTAATAATTAAATAAAGCAATATAAGTTATATGTAGATAATGTAGAAATGTATGCTTGAAGTTCTAATTAAGAATACATAATAATATTGAAATGATATATAAAACAAATATCATGTTTTTTATATGCGATCAAAGCAGATATCTTTGTCCTTCTGGAATGGATAAATTTCACAGTGTACATCGAGAGATAACGTTCTGCCAAGTGACAACTCCTTGCGACAATTATTGTCAACTATACATCTTCCGACTATTATTGGTGGCAATAATTGATTAACATCGAGTAATTATTGAGACCCATATATAATCTTTAATAATATACAGATAACGAAGAATTTTCAGAGCAATTATTCGTCAACGATATAATTATCAAGAGTATTGTCGATAGTAATCAATTGATAAATATTATCACTTATAGATTCATAAAACAAGTATATTTTATGGGTTTATAAGTACTTATGGTTATAAGATAATTAGAACTATATTTCGAACGCGGGTAGAGCTTATTATGCCAATTATTGTCGGCAATGTAGTTGCAAAGTGTTGCAGGCAATAATTTTGTATATGGGTTAATCTCCATATACATACGATAAATAAAAAGGTATGTTTATATGAATAAAGTATTGTATTTCTTTTTTCTAAACATACTTTGGCATATCGAGAGAGACGTACCTACGATATTGCTTATATAAAAAAGTAGTATTGCTTATGAATATCGAGACGAGAAAAGTAAGACTAGATTTTGGCGTTTCCTCTGCCTCTCTTGAGATTATTTTTTTTGTCATCTTCATTTTTCAAATAAAATTAATGATCATTCGTTTAATTTTGCATGCACATTTACACGCCTCGGCGGCGGGTGACTTATACATTTTTGTATGTAAATTTGGATTATGTGATATGGGAATATTCGTCCTATCTTATGATCCACTTTTTTAATCATATGGATATCTTAAATACTATTCCGTTGTTTGAAATGATAGAAATGACGTTACATGTTTGAATGAAGAACATGCAATGATGAACAAAAGAAATATTTTTGGGATAATTTTATGCAAAAAAAAATAGTTTAAATTTTCTCCAATGTTTGTAGAGTTTTAATTATCTTAAAATTGTAGTAATTAATACCAGTCAAAGAAAAGAAGCAAAGACAATAATTTCATGTAATTATATATAAAAGTCATACATATATGAAAATGTAGATTTTCAAATAGTTCATTAGTTTTTGAATAATATTATACAAAGAAGAATAATATATGTACTTCATCTAATATGCTATAAAGAAAAATAATGTGTGATGTATTGGAATATTTTACAACGTATTTTTAATATAAAAAATTGTCTAAAAAATAGAGAGGAAACAGAGAAATATTTTTTATCTGTTATATAAACATAAAGTATGACAAACCATCAGGTGTTCTTGTAATGACGGATTCTTTGAAACATTTTAAGACGAATATCCTCATATGAGAATATAGAGGCTATAATTTTTAAATAGGAAACGATTAAATTCATAAAACTAAACTTTAAACATTTTTAATGTTTTGCATGTTTTTTTAAATAAATTTATAACGTAATGACTAATACTCTCTGTAATATATTTAATAATCTATGTAAATTTATTTTTTTTGTAATGTAAATTAATTTTATGTTATTACATACAATTTTTATGTCAGAAATCCTACGACACATATCTCACGCAATTGAAGTTTTCAGCATCGATATATCGACGGCATCAATTTAATATAAATATAGATATATGAATTTCATTTATAATCATTTTTCAACACTATTTCGTCAATAATATATCCTGAAAGTAGTTCGCATAGTTTTGTAGCTTTATTAAATAAGAATATCTATATATGTATATATATATGTATTTCTAATTTGTGATATCAAACGTGTGAACATAATTCATTTATAATTAATCTCGATGTATCGCACATCATAAGTAGTCGAAAATTTTATCTACAAATCTACGATATCAATTTTAGAGAGTTTGCCCGTCGTCGAAATATCGGTCTCTCTGTCTCGTAACAAAACGAAATATACATGTTAGTTGCTGATATTTTAGCTGCGAATCGAGCTTCGACAATAAACTACGTTGAAGGCCATAGAGTCTCGATGCGAATTTCGCGACTTTATTAGTGTTGTACATATGTAAGGAACACATTGATCCGTTTACACAAATACTTAATATTCACTGGACCAGGAATTATTGTTATATATGTATACATATAACAATATCTGTTGTTATATATATACTGTTATGTATAATTGCCCTGTGTATATATACGTATATATATAATAAGTATATAAATAATACATATATGCATGTGTGTATTGTCTCGCAGGTTATTTCGCTGCGTTTTATTGTTAATTTCATCGATTAATGTTCGTGTACATGCACGTCCCTATTGTAATAATTATATTATTTATCTTTTACTGTTGTTATACGTAGCTTTAACGAAGTTGTTGGAAGTGGAAGAGTCCAGATTTTGTTCATAAAATTACAAAACACACACATACACACACATTAGTGAGTCTGTTAATATGTATGTAGATTCTATATACAGGATGGACCATAAGTATATTAAACTGTGTTAAGAATTATATGGAATGATGAGATATTATATGCCGATTCGAACGAAAGATAATTCTTTATTTATATAAGCATCGAAAAGTGTTTGCATGTTAATGATGATTACCGGGAATGTTTATTAGTTATTTAACGTTGAATATAATACGCGATGTTTCAAGAAAAAGGTGCAACATTTGATGAAATAGACTTTAAGCTCAATGTTAGGTTGATCTTACAATTTGTGTAAATAAAATAAATTTATATGTACAACTGTTGAATAATTGGAGATATGAGAATACAATGATTTAAGTGTGTGAAAAATTCAATAATCCAAAATAATCTTCAATTAAAAGAAATTATAAATAAAATTTTCAGAATTAGTTAATTAATATTTATCCTTTTAAGTGGAACGATAAATTTTATTGTAATATTTTGATTAATAATGAAAAGATTGCTTAAATAGTAAGTCATTTTACATTGGTAATAGACAACTTCTAGTTTTCAGTGAGATTATTTTTATTTTCAAATTATTTAAATAATATGTAATAAAATATAAATAATAATGTTCTACAAATTATTTATACTCTCACAAAAATTTAAATTTATTAAAATTATTAACGTTAAAATTATTAAGCTTTTTTATATAAAATACTAATATATATTTCTTTTCCCTATCAAATTTTCTAAAGGTAAAGATGACATTAAAGATATTAACTCTTAATTCGCAATATTATTTTTCGATTTTTTGATTTATATTTAAAAAAATGTCAATGTAATATATTATATATTGATGCTTAAACAATAGTGCGTGTTTTTTTATAACGCCAATATACTTGTATAGAATTCAACAAATCTTTATAAGATTATTATAAATGTATCGTGTGAATACAAAAATATTATACATCATTACGTGATTTAAAAAATTGAAATTCTAATTTATAATATTTACCTATAAAACACATTATTTGTTTTATATTTTAAATTATGTATGATATATATTTTTCATAGAAATAATATATGCTTATACAAATATATATATTTATCCTATATAAATCAAAAAATATTTGTTTTTATAAAAATTATATTTTTTGATATATAGAATTAATTTTTTTTAATTTTTTGTTGTATATACATATATGTATACATACACATACATAAGTATATAAAACAATATTTTCCTATACAGAATATATTTATTATTCATTTATATATCTAACATTTAAAAAATGCAATTAATAATACCGAATATATTCTTTTGTCAATGTTTAATTACTGTAACAGATAGATATGTATATGCAAAAAGTCTAACTGTTTATAGCATATACATTCAACGAAAAAAAACTAAAATAATTGAGTTAAAGATTAATCAAAAAACATCTCGACATATTCATTATCTCATCATCATGACAGAAATTTTCTCCATAATAAATATTTTTTTTATACAAACAAAAATATATTTAATGTAAAATAATTTAAAATGCAGTATTATCTCTAAAGTAAAAAAGGATAGTTTTTTAAAATACATATTTAAGAAAAGATAGTATTGAAAAGACAAAAATAGAATGAACAAAATTAAGATATTGTGAATGAAGAATTAATGTCTTTTTTTCTGGAGCTCTTTAAAAATTTCCGAAAAAACATAAGACAGATGTAATAAATTTTTTGTTAAATTAATAAATTATATATATATTTAAAGTTTTTTAAGAATTTTTCCGTCATTTCAAATGTTAAATCAACGAATTAACAATCAATCAATTAAATAAATTCGAGATGGATTGCAACAAATAAGATAATAAAATTCGAACAATATAATAAAATCAATTATAATTATTTCAAAACTGCGTCTATTGTTTTTCTATACATAAGATCGATAGATGTTGCTCAAAAGAAATGTGGCATAAAAATATCAAAGAAATTATTCAACAAAAATTTTTTAATAGAAAGATTATTTGTCTATGAGCTTATGGTGCATCCTGTAAAATGTCGTTATATATATTGTATATATCTGTTAAGAGCTATAAATGAAATAAAATTATCGCCGTTCCTAAAGAACACAAAATGTAGACAAGACTTGTATCATCGAATAATCGATGACCAATATCTTATTTGATGTTATACGATATTAAAGAGAAACATAACTAAAGTAAAAACAGAATGATATTGCGATGTATCTTTCTTTGTTGGATATCTTTTTTAATCTCTCTTAATTACTAATGCGAAATAAGTTCTTTTATTTTTCTTTATAAAAAATGTTTAAAGAAAATGAAGACATTTAATTACATTTATTACACTTGCGATATTTATCTATGTTAATAATACAGAAGATGAAATAGAGAAAAAATTTATCTATGTATAGTATAGATAAATGTTTTCATTGTGATTTATATCAAATATAAATGCTCTGAACAGTATCAAAACAAACACAAAAAAGTTACTTATATTCCATATTAAAGAATTTTCATCTTCTTAATGATAATGTAAAAAAAATGCAAAACACTTTTTATTGTGATATCAAGATAAAAAAATATGGTAGAAGTTATGGTTTGCTAATGTACTCATTATCATTATATTTGTTGATCATATATAATAATAATTTACAGAACATATTTAATAATATACAGAATAATCAGAAGAATATAATCAAGCTAAAAACGGCAGTAATTAAAATTCCAAGAATATTAAATTTGAAAATTTGAACTGTAAAATTCCAATTTTTAAAAATCGGCAAAATAGTAAGAAAATATAATTAGATAAAAAATAGCAGAATAATTTATCAAAGTAATTTTTATACACATTTTATGTATAATAACGGAGAGATATATTTTTTTATTACACTTTTCTTGTACATAAAATCTTATATTCTATACGTAATACATACACACACATCGTCTATTATGTACAAAATTTACAATCTTATCTGAATATATTAAACTTATAATCTTATTTTTTGCAATTTTCATATTTCTAATTTTTTTAAAAAAAATTCGTATTCTTTCATAGTTATTTTTATACACTACAAGGCTTATGAAACACTATAAAAAGTAGGATGTACCAATTGAATTTTTTTCCACTTCTTTTTCAGTACTCAGCATTAAACTATCAATCTTTATGATAGTGAGAAAAACCTGCAATAATAATCATGTAAATAAAGTGCTCATGTTTCCTGTAATTTAAATATAATAATGCACGCAAACAAATAAATTGATAACTTCATTCATTTTCAGCTAGTGTATATATGGTTTATCCAATTTCCTATTTCTTCCATTACAAATTCTACATTGAATGTAATATTGCGTGCGTATGTAAAATGTTAATTATAAAATCTATATTTATGTATTGTACATAATTATTCGTATATTTAGTGTAAATAATTGATATCTTGGCAAAATATAATAGTATAAAATACAGTATAATAAACTCATTTATATAACTATTTTATAACTACAAAAAGCATTAGCAAAGTTCAAATATACGAATCTATATATTACTATGCCTATTCATTATGCACTATAAAAAAAGCAAAAAATCTCTGAAAGTTTCTGAATAATCTATCAAGCTACAAAAAAAATTAGATATGCGAAATATCACAGATTTTCTTTTCTATGCATTATATACATAAAAAACACAATATATTGATCGAATTTTTAAAATTTACAAAAAGGAAAAAGCGTGGAAGAGAGGAGCTGGTGGAAAAAAGCGATTAATAAGCTATCTTATTTTATTTTTATCGTCGAGTAGTACATGCTCTAGAAGTAAATTTAAATCATATGTACTTTGTGCGTGTTAAAGCGCTTCCGCCCTTTGTAGGATCCATCATTCGATCCCAATTAGTATGTCCAACGACAAATCCGACGGCGCGCATTTTCTCCTGCTCCTTACGTTCTTCCAGATCAGCCCAACGTACCTACAAATTAAAAAAAAATTAACATAATTATAATTTTTGTTCAAAAATCTTATATATAAAAAATTGCATGCAAAACTTCTGACTTCTTGCTACAGCCATACTTGATGAAAAATAAAAAATAAAAAGTTATATAAACTTGACAAATTAACTTAACAATTAAGTAAAGATTAACAAAATATACCAAAAACTTTTTTGTCATCTTACATTATACACGTAATGAACGCAAGTATTCGCATGTACACATCAAACATGAATGACATAAAAAAGAAACTAATTTATTTCAACTTATTCTGCAAGAAAAGGACTCGCATAATTTCTCAATTCTGATGTAATATGATTGAATTATAAACAAATACAACGCTAAAATTGAAGGAATGCAAATAAATAATAAGATCTTCAAATAGTTTTGTAAAAATAAATTGGTGAAAGAAATTGTGATTTGAAAAATACTTGTTTTAATATTCTGCATGATACGCACTCGTTTTTTACCAGACGTATCTTCCATATTATAATAGTCAGGAACTTGGAGGAAATCTTCCATAGTTTGAGGTTTTGTTTCATTTTTCTTTCTTGCTAAACCATCTAATCGATCTGCATTGCAAAGAAAATAAAGATGATTTTACAAATACATTCATCTTAATTATAAAAAATATATACATATATGAACTATTTTTTTAATCTCTCTTAATATATATAAAATAAATTAACTAACCTAATTTATCTTCAACTTCCATTTTCTCCCATTTGCTGACACCCTAAAAGAATAATGCATATGTAAATACATTAATGTGTAATAAAATCATATTACTAATCATATTTTTAATAAATCAAGTGATTTATTAGAAATTTAACAAAGGATATTAAATGTTGCAAGAACAAAATATTTAAAATATTTTGTACAAAGTTTCGTTTCTAAAAGATATCAAATTCGAGAATTAAAAATTAGTAATATTTTCCTGTCTTAAGTCTGTAATTCACGGTACTGCCAGATAAATGAGAATTTATTCTAACAAAAATTAATATAAATAAAAGATTAATAGGAATAAATACAATATTCTAGAAAAACTTTTAAAAAATAATAATGATATTTTATGAATACCACTAATGACGAATTAGCTCTCTGTATATAACTATTAATTTCATTTAATTACAATTGTATCTTGACTGTCCTCATGACTGTCTTGACTATCCTCATTCTGAGCAATAGATTTCTCCTGTGTTTCTTCGCTATCCTCCATATCGACCTTTAAGAAAAATATTTCTAATTACAAATTTTATACAAATATATATACTCTAAAAATAATATACTTTACAATATCATTAATTTATATCAATTCATCATATACTATCTTAAAATTCTAATTTTATAATGTACAATCATGAAAAAATTTAATAATGAAACGATTTTTGTTGCAAGGCATGTAGATATTCTCTTTATGAAACAAATTAAATTACCTCCTCTATTGCCTGCTCTTGCAACATCGAGTTCACATCTAACTTTTGATGATAACTAGGCGTTGGTTCAAAGTAATCTATTATCCGATTAATTTCGTCTTCGGTACGATTGTGAATATTTCTTTTCAAGCATATCTGCAGATCCATTTCCATCTCGCACACATATACCTTTATAGAGACAACATCATTATCAGCAAACAAGGAATATGAATTTCGTGAAGGTAGAAAACTATTATTTCCAATCGTTAATTATTTTATAAATTATAAATATTAAAATTTATAAATATTAAACATTTTTGTTGAAAAAAGATTGATTCCAAATTGAAGTCTACAATAAAAAAAAAGATTATTTTTTTAAATATTCTGTAGGTATAATATATTACTAAATGTAATTAAATTTTATTAAATTATTAAAATAACTTACTTTAAAACCTTTCGTCTTAGCGAAACTCCACATTTCTTCATAATCCGAAATCTTCTCGTTGATGCAGTCCAATATGATGAAATTGAAAAACCCATCTGTTATATTTTTCTTGAAGGCTTTAATTAGAGATGTTACATAACTCTGTTCCACAGCTTCTTCATATTCATATATCATTTCCTGTTATAAATAGTAAATTCGTGTAAATCTAATGTGTTTTTATACATAATCTCACAATATGATATCTAATTTAATATTATCCAACAGACTTTTTGTTTATAGAGTTCCAAATCTCTTTTAAAAAATACAAATATCATATAATAGTAGTATATGACAAATTATGAAGAGAAATACTATTTAATAATATCCCGTTTAAATTTTGGATATTATTAATATTATAAATTTTATATAATACAAATCTGGTGACCGTATTCTCCAAGTAAAAATAATTATTAGTTTCACAAAAGCTATTTTATATCACAATAAACTGTCTACCTTAACTGTGACTTTTTCCCATTATCGTCTACAGTCTCTATTTCCTTTTCGACGAGAAAATAATCATCTAAACTCAATATCCTCGGCGCAGAGCCTCCTTGTTCAACTTCTTTATCCTAGACAAGAAAAGTTATAGTTGTGTAGTATCAAATAAATAATAATTTTATAAATTCATAGGATGTACATATACGTATGTGACACATAATAATTGAATATAAAAAAATAAAATTGAAAAGACTGAAATAATTGAATGTTTAATTAAATTGAATTGAACTAAATTAATTGAATACAATAATTAAATAAAATATTCAAATTATATGTATCTTTTGGAGAGAAAATAGAATATATTCAATAAAAATTGTATCTATATTTTTATTGATACATATATTTAAACATTTATTAAAACGTACTTTGATAAGTTTAGTCACGAAAGATTTACCACTACCAGGTGGTCCTCTGAGAATAATGGCTATTTTCAATGGTCTGTTCTGACGACCTGGTGGGCACAGTAAATCATCGACCATCGTGTAGTTCGACATTTTTGCCAATTCGAGAGTTTTTGTAGTTGATTCCACAACATTTTTCTTTGTGTCTAGGGGAAGACTGTAACAAGGATTTGTCTTTCAATAAAATAAATAAACTCATACAATTATAGTATATCAGATTGATCGAAAAATACTCGTTTTTTCTATTTTTACATAAATAAAAAAACGAATAAACTCTGATCAATCTTATATATAACAAAAAATTTTAATTTCTTAATAATTATATAATAAAAATATGTAATATTATATAATTTTATAATATTAATAATAATTAATAATATCATAATTGTATAATATATTATGATATTATTATTATATAATATATTAATTATTATATTTATAATAAGACTATATATATAAAATAAGAACACTTTTCGTCAGACATAAAATATGACAATGTCGTTGTAAAGATACTGTAGATTAGTGTAGATAGAATTAGAATATCCCAAGTAATAAATTATGAGAAATTCATTATAAAGAATGAAGTAACATATTGCAAATATTTAAGCGAGAGCAATAATAATTTGTTATAATATCGTTCATTATAAAAATTCAGAGATGATGTACCCGTTATATGAATCGAAATGCATATGCTGCATATTATATATTCTCTCTATTAAGAGAGAGAGAGAGAGCAATAATATTAATACAAATATATCATAACTGTCACGGAGGAGTCAATTTCAAAAGATTAAAAAGAGTCAGACATAAAATCAATATGTACAGATTTATATGTACATATTTAATATATACATGCTGCATATAAAATGGCGTATTATAAGAAATGATGAAAATTTAATATAAATATCACTTATCATAGGAATTCAATTTGTGTCAGATAAAAATGCCACCAATTCTGTGTGAATATATGTCGATATTGTATGTAAAAATTATGAGTAATCCTACAATAAAATATAAAAAAAAATGATTAAAGAATAGTGCATTACGAGTAATATGCACCATTCTATAATGAATTTTTTATATTTTATTGTTTACTTTATCGTATAGTGTGAGAGCCATAATAAATTAACACAAATGATTTAAAGTAATATTCGCTTTTAGGAAAGCGTAGCCTTATTCGTTCAGAGATTTTTATTAAAAAAAAAGATATTTATTATAATATAAACTAACATTATATTATCATATTGATCTACAGAATATGTAATTGGAAATCATAAAAAATAACTAATAAATTTGATATATAAATTAGAAAAGATTTGTTAGAATAATCAATATTATTGGGCATTGTGTAAAATCTTCGGTAATTATGCGTAATTTATGCGAAATGATCATAACATACAGATATATTAAATTTGATATATCTGTTATATCTATATATCAAGCCTATAAAAATATCCGGATTTTATTGGATTATATCCGAATTATCCGAAAATAATTATTTTGATTATATTCAAATCAGGATATTCAGATAATTCGTGTCAATAAATTACACACAAAATATTGTAGAACATAAAATAAATATGTAGCTTTTAAGGAGCTTCTGGCATATTACTGCGTTGTTAAATTGTATTATGGCGTCAGAAGCGAAAAATCATATAATTCTCGTATAATTTGTATAAAATAATATACGTAGCTTATGTTGCAGCAAATGCATAACTGCATATGCGCAATATTTATATAGTAGGAACATAATTAAAAAACCTCATATATATGAGTTCGCAATATGGTAAGCATAGCATATAATCAAAAAGATCTATGAAAATTAGCTGTTTTTTTATCAAATATTTTTTATAAAATGTTTTTAAAAATGAGTTTTTTTTATAAAATGTAGACTCAAGAAGCAATTAACATACCTGGTCTCTTGTAGCTTTGTGTCTACGATGTTCTTGTTCGAACTCTCCTGCCAGTTAATATTTCCTTTCGATCTAAAGAATGCCATATACATTCAGAATATTGCATGGACTTCATTTATATATTATCATTTATGGGATAACTATGTAATATAACTATATTGTTATATTTATGTAGTCATTTTTATTAAAAAGTATTATAAAAAATAAGATAGAATAATGTTTCTACGATACCTGTTATCATCTTTGTCATTGTCTTTATTTATTTCCCTTCGCGAACTTTCACGTATCTCTTGAACCCGTTCTATATCCGAAAAACAATAGATAATGAAGCTCAATATAGGCTTAATATTTCAATATATAATTTATAATAATATAATAGAATAAATCTCTAAATTAGTGCAAACTTTATAAACGTATTTTACATCCCGTCCTTAGGTTTGTAAATATTTTTTATCAGTCCGATTAGTAGAATACGCTAATAAAGTAAAATACACTAGTTTGGTCGAGTATTTTCAAAAATATTATATTTTATATTGTTTTATAGAATAAAATTTCGGTGACTTTCAGGTCACTTTTCACAAATAAAGAATCAAGTAGCAAGAAAGAAGAATTGAAACAGTGAGCATTAAATAAATCAATAACCACAGTTTAATATTTTTATTACGTCGAAATGTTATATCGAAGAAAATGTTCAACTGTTATCAATTCACTTTCTGCTTAAATATTTTTTATGTTCTGCAAAAGCTTTTTCTGCGAAAAAGCTTTGTTAATATATTTATATCAAATATAAATATAAATAATTATAAGGAGCTAATTATATAAATTGATATAAGAAAATGGAGACAAACAACGAAAATCTTTTTTGATTTACAATTCATTTAAAAAACCTAGTAGTTAAAACTGGAATTCTACTATTATCTAAAACAAAAAATTACCTGAAATAAAAAAAATTACCTTTGTGAATGCTTCTATCGCTTTGGTATAGATCACTCTGCTCGTTACCAGAGTTTCGCTCAAAAATCGGGATTCCGATTCAGGATTGTACCCTTTTTCTTTACGATCATCATTGTCCTTTCTCTCTATCTCGGGTATTTTGTCACTAGATTGCCAATCGTGTTCCTTCCGTTTATTATAATTATCTGCCGATCTACGCGTATCGTAGTTCTCATAATTTCTCGTTTTTTCCACATATCTTTTCGAATTCTCATAGTTACTCATCTTCTCGGCGTACTCCTTCAGATTTTGCTCGTTCTCTACCCAGTTTCTAAAATCCTTCTTCTGATAATGATGATGATGTTGCTGTTGCTGTTCGCGATCCAGTACCACCGGTTTCAGATCACCGTGACCGTAATCGAAGCACTGAACAGGCGACAAATGCTGATCCGCAATTGGCAGACGAGATGCGTGTCCGTAATCAATCACCTTCATCGGAGTAAAGTTGAGCGGTTCGACAAACTTCTTGTCAAGCTCGCCGTGATTGTAATTAAACTGTCTCGGCGCGCAAAAATCTTGACCGCTTCTCAATTGTGATCGCTTCATAAACAGATGGGAGGTATGCTTCGGCTGGAAGTCTGCAGGATTAGTAGCAGATTGTGGTCTGTAATCGCCCGTCATCGGTTCGGTTGTGGTCTTCTCTGATTTCAATTTCTCATCGAACGTATTTGGAACGCCACTGATGTTTTGTTGATGTTTATTTGCCCCGTCGAGTTTCTGGTCGTTGCCAAACTTATCCTTCCAAATATCGTTAGGTCTTCGATCGTATCCTGGACGAGGTACGACCTCTAATTCTTTTTTGCGAAGATTAGATGTATTTCCAGCAAACTCAGCAGTATTGTCCTTTCGTATTTCCATGTCAATGTTCTCGTTTCCTGAACAGCCTTTGTTAAACTCATCGACTGCTTTTGAACCTTCATATCTAGCCTTTTTAACGGGAATGTTATCTTCAAATTGTTCTCTTCTAGGATTGTAAGGATTAGTACGCATGTAATCGCCACGATTGTGAAAAGAATCGCCTCGAGATGGGAAATTTGCATTGTTAGGATCGCTCATCGGTCCTCTTGGTTTGAAGTCTGATGATCCAAAAGAGCCATCGTTAGGATCTCGAGATTCGAATTGATTCTCGTTGAAATTCGAATTACGTTGAAGAAGAACGTTATTTGAATCGCGAGAACCGAGCGGAATATCATTAGAACTATGGAGACCAAGTGATCCTTCGTTGGACCTTCGAGTTCTATCGGCAGGAAATCCAAAGGCTCCGCTATTATCGAAGAGAGGTCTCTTATCGAACGGTGTCTCATTCATTCTACTGAATCTGTTAGGACCGGATCCAACAGAGCCGAGTTGCGGATCAGCGAGACGTCGAGTATTGAAAAAACTATCACTGGGTTCTCTAGAACCGCATGATCCATCGTTAAATCCTCGCGGACCAAATGGTCCTTCGAAAATTGGTCTAGAATCTAAGCGATCATTAGCGCCTCTAGGTCTAAATTGCATTTCGTTACCTCTAGGACCAAATTGGCTAGGATTACGCGCAGCAAACGGCAAATCAATCGAGCCTCTTGGCAGATCGATAGGTCTGCCTGGACCAAATTTTCCATTTCCCAGAGCTCGCGAACCAAATTGCTCGTTCATGGTATCTCGTGAGCCGAATTGACCGCTGTTGAACACTTCAGATGATTCGTCGTTACGATCTCGCTCGCTATACTGCTCATTGTTGAATCTCCCAGGACTGCCTCGACTTTCACTAGATGCATTAGGCCCGAAAGGACCGTCATGGGAACCACGCGGAGCCAACTGTGTGTCTGCAGGACCTTGCGGCTGGAACGTACTCGGACCAGGACCCATTGGAAATGTGTGAGAACCTTTAGGACCAAACATCGGTGGTCCCCGTTCAAACGGTGTGCTAGATGTAAATTCCATTCCTCTAAATCCAAAGTTATGATCCAAGCGCGCATCAAATTTGCCAGCTGGTTCCTTTTTATTAAAATCTTCGTTTGGATTCAGCGACGCGTTCTGATTGGAGTTTGTAGAAATAAGGCACAAATTGGGCAATTCTGGCGGTGGTTCAATATTTAAATCTGTCGGTCGTGGATCGTTTTCACCCATAAATGGTAAACTTTCAGACTTTTTGGTATCGTTACTGTTATTAGACTCTTCTATTTTTTCAGCACTACTTTGTATTTGATCATTATCATGCTCCTTATCTTGCTGCAAAATAGTATCACTATTGAGAAACTTGCTCTCTTCTGCATCATTCTTGTTTGAGCTATCTTCAGATACAAGATTTTTCTGCTCAGCACTATCAGCCTCGTTCGCTGGTACAGCTTCTACAGTCTTTGAATCTGCAATGTTATCAGTTTTTAATAAAGTATCAGAATCAGTAGTTTCAATATTCTCGAGATGTTTAGCAGAAACTTGAGAGTGAATATTGATTGGTTGGGATTGATTAGATCTAACATCTATATCCTTTCCTAATCGTTCGTTATAATCTACAGGATGTTTGACTAAGTTATCTGAAGATCCTCTAAAAGAAGATTCATCATCATTCTTAAAAGAGTGACCTCGTGGACCATACAATGAAGTGGAAATCTGTCCTGAATCGGAATGTAATTGAAAATTGGAGCTCACTGGTCCACTGTTGGAAAAGTTCATTGATCCACTACGATTTGGTAAATTCTTTTGAAGATCAAAGGAACTTTTAAAAGGTGACTCGCCAGCTATTTTCTTGAAACTTTCACTGAGAGAACCAACACTACTAGACTTGTCGGAATCAGTAAAACTAGGTCTGAATACGTCCCCGGCGGCTTTCCGCTTTTCCATGAGTTTCTTCAGTTCCGGTGATAACTCGTTCGGTGGACTAAATGAAGGATTTCTATTAAAACCACGAAGATTAGTACCGAAACTATCTCGTCTATGATCAGTAACATCCTTTGAATCAAAATAATCCACATTACTTTTGTTGAATCGATCTGATCGATCGTTTGAGCGAAAATGATCGCTGTTGGGTCCAAAGCGATCAGAGGAAAAATTATCAGTCCCAGGTCCAAATCGTTCAGCACTTGAAGCAAATCTATCTGGTGGAAATCGTTCATTATCTGGACCAAATTGATCGTTTGCAGGCCCACGACGATCTTTATCTATCCCAAAACCAGTTTTAAATCGATCGCCATCCGGTCCAAGCCACTCGTTACTGAATCGATCTGATCCTAGACCAAGTCGATCATTATTTGATCCGAATCGATCACCTCCCGATAAGAACCTATCACTTCCCATCAGTCCAAATCGATTATTTTCTCTATTAAAACGATCATTTCCTATTCCAAATCGCTCGTTATTTATATTGAAATTATTCTGTGAATTCAATTGATTATTCCCGAAGTCAGTGTAATTTGTATCGCTTCTTCTAAAGCGTTGCGCTTCGATTCTATCAAAACTATCAGTAGGTTTAAACTGATCTTGCTCATTTATATTTGAATTGATATTAGCTTCTCGTCCGAAACGTTCCTGATCACTTCTTCGAAAGTTGAGCTGTCCGTCAAAACTATGAGACGATCGATTGTTTGGATGAATAAAACGCATGTCCATGTTCGAAGGATCAGTCGAAGTAAATGGAGGACAATCTTTATTTGCTGGACCTAGCACTCTCGCATTTTGCAATTGCGGTCGATCATTATTAGGAAATTTGGTGGAGGTTGCGAAAAATTTGGCATGAGATTGTTTGACAGATTTGGTGGTGGCTGTGTAAAATTTGGTGAGATCATTTGAGGTAGACCAACATCCGACGCTGAGGACATTGTAGGTGTTCCGTATCCTGCTTCTATTCTAGGATTATATTGCTGATTTCCCCATTGTTGCGGATTAGACCATGATGGCACATTAGATCTGCTGATCATGTTTATTTGAGACGAAATTGATTGCGTTCCTTGAGTTGTAGGTTGATCGTTAGAATTTGTAGTTTCCGGTAATGGTGGAGGCGGCGGCGGCGGGGGCGGTAAAGGTGCCGTAGTACTTTGCTTTACTGTCAAACCCAGCAGCGTTTGTCCGATATCCAATACATTATTAATCAATCGTTGATTTTTGGTGTTTGATAAGATATTCAATATTTTATCGTCGCCAGATATGTTCTTATTCTTTTCGGCTTCCGTTTTCGCTGCGATTTGTTTCTGTTGTTCACGTTTTTTACGCATTTGCTCGCGCCGTTCAATCAATTTTTCACGCCACGATGTCCACTTTGCTTCGTATTGCTTGTATTGAATCTGAAAAATTGAGAATGTCAATTTAATTTTCATAAAAATTGTAAATCTGTTATTAAGATGCACACAGCTCGTGCATTTAATCCTAGGATATTAAGCGAAAGTACAGTTTAAGCATATTTTAACATTTTTAACATAAAAATCAAATATCAAAAATGTATCTCTTAATAAAAATACAATTCTTTAACACTCATTTAGTTTATAGTAAACTTTATGCATCTTAAGATGTCGAGTATATAAATTGTAGTATCACTTACCTTGTCCGGATGATTGGCATTCTGCTGCTTCCACTTGTTAAACTGCTCTTCCCACTGTTGAAACTGTTCATCAAATGTTCTCTCAACCTCAGTCAATTCGTCATCTTCGAGCTTTAATTTTTTAGCACTATTGGATTCACTAATTACATTACTACCACATTTTTCCACCGAGATACTCTCCTTACTCTCGCCAGTTTCCGGTGGTAAGGGTGGCTGGCTCGTAGGTAACGGTGGATTCGTAGGATAGTTTGTCACATTCACTTGTGATATTGTTTTATTGGCAGGTTCTTTTATGGGGAATAACGGAAGATTATTTTGATGTGGAGGTGGCATGTTTGCAAATTGATATGTATTTGTGGTAGGTAAAGCGGAGGGTAAAGGAGGTCGCACATCCTCTTTGGGGAGAGGCGGTGGCTGTATAGTTGGAGGCAGTTGCATTTGGCCTGACAAACTCATATTCTGCGCAGATAAATGCTTCATTGTCTCCTGGTACTGAAAATAAATTTTTGTCGATAGAAATTAATGAGTTGAAGCATATATAATGTCATTATAGATATGAGTCATTTTTGAACATATAAATTGATGAAATTTTTACAATACAAATTAGCTGACAATAAAAAAAATAGATAGATATAGAATGTGTCTGAAAAAACATCTGTATATTTTAAATAATTTTATAAAAAGAAAAGGAAAAATTTGTTTTGTTACAAACTATTTTCATTAAAACATATTATTCTTATTTGTACTAGTATGATAAATAAAACAATTTAATATATGTAGAATTAAATGAAATTTTTGCAGTTTTTATAATACTAAAATAATAAGAAAAACTCAGCTTTAGAAAGATGTATAATAACTCTTTTAAACAGAATAATTTCACATAACAGAAAAGAAATATTGTATCACATTATAGTCTTTTTATCAGAATATATTTTTATTTGCTAATACATTAATGTCTAATAACTAAAACACTTTTTGTAACATTTCTTTCTCTCACGTAAAAATAGCTCTAAAAAAATAGATATAAATTATTTTTATTAATTTCATATAACTTTCTAAATTTTTGAATCTTTAATTACTTAAGAAAATTCTTTGTACATCTTTCAATCTGTTTTAAAAAGAAAACAACTTTATGTAAAAAAGAATTGCTACAAAATATTAATTTCAAACATATTTCGTTTGTATTAGTGTAAAATATATATAAAATAAAGTAATGCAAAATTATTTTATATAAAATTATCATAAAGAAAATGGAGAATATTTAAAGAAAAATATAAAAATATCTTTCTTGTCTATATTTTGTAATGTACGTATTACTCGTTTCTGTAATAAAATAATCAAATGTTTTAAAACTATAAATTTTGCAAATGCGTCAATGATAAATAATATTAAATTCCTCTCTCAAAAATCTACATTTATATATTTATGATTATATATATGTAATTATTTATTAAATATATTCTTCGTATAAGAAAATTCTCTTTTATATTATACCTTGTCGCCATATTGTGCTTGCCATTGTTGATATTGTTGTTGCCATTGCTGCCATTGAGCCCAGCCTTGTTGTTGAGCAGTTGCCCATTGCTCTGGTGTATATCCACTTGGTGCCTGATAAAGATTATGCAATATATTGTACTAATGTTAAAATAATGATTATTCATTGACAATTAATATAACACTTATTAGATTAGGGCGAAAAATTTATCGTAATCATTAAATAAAAAAAAACTAAATTAAAAGAGAGAGAAACATAATCTCTCATAATTTTTTTATTAATCAAAAATGTCATCACTAATTTTAATACACACTTTATTTATCTAAGAACTTTTTCAATCCATTCTTTTCATAGTATCAAACTATTTAAGTTAGTAATTTTAAAATAAAATTTAATAGAGACAATAAATATTTTGTCAATGTAATACAAAAAACTGAAAAAAATAGAATGTATTCAATTCACTTTTAATTTATTCTTACAGATGAATATATATATATATAATAATGTGTTAAATTTTATGTATTATTAATTTTTTTAAATAACTACATGCATTACACATGAAACACAATCTTGATATAACTTATTAATTAATTATATATACATATATAAGAATAATATCTTTTAAAATTATACTTACTGGTTGATTATAATATTGCATACAATTTTGCATCAAAGTTATAGGGTCTGCGCCAGCTGCTGCAGCATAGCCAACTGGTGGCTGCGGCACTGGAGTTGTAACAGCACCAGCTGACAGCTGCCATTGATTCCAATTTTGCATTTTTGAATCCTGTCGGACTAGCAAGCAACTTGCTAGTTTGCTCTAAAGGTTGTCCGTTCTAGGATTTTGGCTATTTGGTGTTTAAAAAAAATTTATATATTTTATTCATTGTAGCTACAAACACATATATTTTATGATTTTTCTTTAATTTATTTCTTACATATTTAAAGGCAATAGCTAATATATAGTAAAGATAAATTTTGTATATATATCAGGAGACGCGGTAGCGTCTCGCTAAGTTATATCTTTCATTCGTCAAATTAAAATACAATCTACAAAAAAAACAAAAAAAAATATCGAAAGATATCGAAAAGATAGCGAAAATATCGAAACAATAGCGAAAATTATCCGTAGGACGCTACTGTGTATCCTTTACCGGACGTAACACGATTTTCGTAACCTTGAAAACAAAAATTTGAAATATTTCATGAACGGAAACATATTTTTCAAAAGATGACCATATCAATCGAAAGCGCGATTTTTTCCGAGTAAAATGAGACCTTAACGAACTTGATAGCTCTATTGGTTGCGGAGATATGAATTTTTCAAGTTATTTTTTGGTCGAAAAGGTGTCACTTTTTTTTAAGACTACGGCGTCGTACTTGTCCGCGGTCACCCATCCCGACAAAGTGATTCTGTCCGAAGCTGCTTTACCTTATCCGCGGTCACCCATCCTAGTATAGTGACATTTTCCTCAGCTGCTTAACCTTTAAGCAACCAAACGAAAAATAAATTCTCGCTCTCTCTCACTCTCTCTCTCTCTCTCCCCCCTCTCTCTCCCCTCTCTCTCCCCCCTTTTTCTCCCTTTCTCTCTTGCTTTCCCACGTCTTTTTTCGCTCTCTCTCGCCCTCTCTCGCTTTCTCTCGCTGTCTCTCGCTCTCTCTTGCTCTCTACCGCTCTCTCGCGTTCTCTCGCTCTCTGCCGCTCTCTCTCGCGTTCTCTCGCTCTCTCCCACTCTCTCTCGCGTTCTCTCGCTCTCTCTCGTCTCTCGCTCTCTCTCGGTTTTTTTCGCTCTTTCTCGCTTTCTCTCGCTGTTTCTCGCCTTCTCTCGTTCTCTCTCGCTCTCTCGCTTTCTTCCGGTCTCTCTCGCTCTCTCCCGCTCTCTCTCTCGCGCTCTCTCGGCCTCTCTCGCTCTCTCTCGCTCCCTCTCGTCTTCTCTCACTCTCTCTTGGTTTTTTTCGCTTTCTCTCGCTGTTTCTCGCTCTCTCTCGTTCTCTCCCGCTCTCTCTCGCTTTCTTTCGCTCTCTCTCGCTCTCTCCCGCTTTGTATCGCTCTCTCTCGCTCTCTCTCGCCCTCTCTCGCTGTCTCTCGCTCCCTCTTGCTCTCTGCCGCTCTCTCTCGCGTTCTCTCGCTCTCTCTCGTCTTCTCTCGCTCTCTCTCGGTTTTTTTCGCTCTCTCTCGCTTTCTCACGCTGTTTCTCGTCTTCTCTCGTTCTCTCCCGCTCTCTCTCGCTTTCTTTCGCTCTCTCCCGCTCTCTATCGCTCTCTCTCGCGCTCTCTCGGCCTCTCTCGCTCCCTCTCGTCTTCTCTCACTCTCTCTCGGTTTTTTTCGCTTTCTCTCGCTGTTTCTCGCTCTCTCTCGTTCTCTCCCGCTCTCTCTCGCTTTCTTTCGCTCTCTCTCGCTCTCTCCCGCTTTGTATCGCTCTCTCTCGCTCTCTCTCTTGCCCTCTCTCGCTGTCTCTCGCTCCCTCTTGCTCTCTGCCGCTCTCTCTCGCGTTCTCTCGGCCTCTCTCGCTCTCTCTCGCTCCCTCTCGTCTTCTCTCACTCTCTCTCGGTTTTTTTCGCTTTCTCTCGCTGTTTCTCGCTCTCTCTCGTTCTCTCCCGCTCTCTCTCGCTTTCTTTCGCTTTCTCTCGCTCTCTCCCGCTTTGTATCGCTCTCTCTCGCTCTCTCTCGCCCTCTCTCGCTGTCTCTCGCTCCCTCTTGCTCTCTGCCGCTCTCTCTCGCGTTCTCTCGCTCTCTCTCTCGTCTTCTCTCGCTCTCTCTCGGTTTTTTTCGCTCTCTCTCGCTTTCTCACGCTGTTTCTCGCCTTCTCTCGTTCTCTCCCGTTCTCTCGCTCTCTCTCGCCCTCTCTCGCCCTCTCTCGCTCTCTCTCGCTCTCTCTTGCTCTTTCCGCTCTCTCCCGCACTCTCTCGCGTTCTCCCGCTCTCTCTCGCTTTCTCTCGCTGTTTCTCGCCTTCTCTCGTCCTCTCCCGCTCTCTCTCGTTCTCTCTCGCTCTCTCTCGCTCTCTTTCGCTCTCTCTCGCTTTCTCCCGCTCTCTATCGCTTTTTCTCGCTCTCTATCGCCTTCTCTCGCGTTCTCTCGCTCTCTCCCGCTCTCTCTCGCGTTTTCTCGCTCTCTCCCGCTCTCTCTCGCGTTCTCTTGCTCTCTCTTGTCTTCTCTCGCTCTTTCTCGGTTTTTTCTCGCTCTTTCTCGCTTTCTCTCGCTGTTTCTCGCCTTCTTTTGTTCTCTCCCGCTCTTTCTCGTTCTCTTTCGTTCTCTCTCGTTTTTTTCCGCTCTCTCTCGCTCTCTCCCGCTTTCTATCGCTCTCTATCGCTCTCTCTCGCTCTCTCCCGCTTTGTATCGCTCTCTATCGCTCTCTCTCGCTCTCTCTCGCTCTCTCTTGCTCTCTCCCGCTTTCTCTCGCTCTCTCTTGCTCCCTCTTGCTCCCTCTTGCTCTCTCCCGCTCTCTCTCTTGGGTCCTCTTGCTCTCTCTCGTCTTCTCTCATTATAAATATAAAAAAATATACATTTATTTAATGCATTTTGTTTAATGATCTTTGCAAAAATATGTGAAATCCCACAAAAAAAGACATCACAGATGTAAAAAAAAAGCGCTAAGTTATATCTTTCGTCAGCAAAAATAGTTCTTTATAATAATAAAAATATAATCTTCTCAAAAATTATGTTTATAGCCAAAATAATTCTTTGCAAAAATTAATCATTATCAAAAATATTTTCTCAAAAATTATATTTATAAATTATATTTTATTTTTGTTAATAATACTAGAAAAAATTAAAATATTAGCATCAAAAAGTAGTGAAATCAAAAAATTGCGCTAAATAATTATATTGATAATACGAGAAAAAAGGTTAAAATATTAGCATCAAAAAGTAGTCAAATCAAAAAGTTGCACTAAGTAAGTGACAACATAATATATAATATTTAGATAAATTTCTTATAATGATACAAATGTATAATTATTGCTTTATTTTAAAACGTTTATAATATATACAATAACAAAATAAATTCAGTAAAATATATATATATATATATTTATTCATCTTTATATTTAAATAACATGAATAATTATGTAATTAATTTAAACTGGAATGTATATACATTGTAAAGTTATTATATATTTTTATAAAATATTTAGATAAATAGATATATATAAAAAATAAATTATTTATCTCTAAATAATTATTTAATTCAAATATATTTAAACGTATATTCAAAAAAGGTAATATAAGGCACAAAGAATTAAATTTAGGAAATTAAAAAAATTTAAAGTTAAATAAAAATTTTTAATTTAAATTAAAAAATAAAAGTAAAAATAAAAGTAAAAAAAATGTAATGTACAAAAAATACTTAGCGCTGTTTTTGTATTATAGCCCTTTGACTACGAAACGTCCTTAAAAATGATGATTAGTAACGAAATGTGTATATACAGAATATATCACACACAGAAGTCGCATCCTATCTTTGGAGAGTGAAATGATGAAGTCAAAATAAGTCGAAATTAAAGAATCATGAAATTATATTTGAATCTTTTTTATAAAAAAATTCATAATGAAAATAATGCGCTTTAAACATCTATCTCGAAACTTTGATTGCGATCAGGAAAACATTGCAAATGCTTTAAAACATGTATCAGAATAAAGAAATTTTTATTCATTTATATTTTGATTGATCAATTAAACACTTTGAAATGCTCCATATACATTAATTAATATATGTATACATCAGGGTTGGGAAAGTTACTTTGTAAAAGTAACTAGTTACAGTTACAGTTATTTCATTGAAAAAATAACTAGTTACAGTTACAAGTTACCGATTTAAAAAATAACTCGTTACAGTTACAGTTACTCTAAAAGTAACGAGTCGTTACTTTTCAGTTACTTTTTAAAAATAATTATACATTGTTTTAAATATAAGGAGCTTACATTTTATGCACAATTACAGTCAAGTATTTAAAAAATTCTTGAATGTAATATTGATCGATTTGCTTGCGACTTTGCAATTAACATCAATGTATGAATGATCTTTATATACAACAGTAAAAATAGTTATAGTAAGTTACTAAATGGTAATCGCAAAGTCGCAAGCAAATCGATCAATTATTACCTTTAAGAATTTTTTTAAATATTTGACTGTGATTGGTCGATCTTAATTATGTGTTATATTATTTTATGTACACAAAATGAAAATTTTAGGTAAAAGATTAAATCATATGAAGATCCATATGCTACTGTTATCAAAATTTAATTTAATAATATAACGGCTACCATACTTAAACAATACTTTTAGCGCATGTTTCCAAAAAAAGTAACTAATAAAGTAACTATTAAAATAGTTACTAGTTACTAAAAAAATGTAACTAAGTTACAGTTACAGTTACAGATGGAAAAAAGTAACGAAGTTAAGTTATAGTTACCGAAAAAAAGTAACTGTAACTGTAACTTCGTTACAAGTAACTCGTTACTTCCCAACCCTGGTATACATATATTAATAACATATATATGTATATGTATACGTCTTTAGCATATATTAATGTATAGTAAATTCATTTTTATAATTTTCACTTAGCCCATTCACATTGCCCAATCGTTGAATCTGTTTAATATGACAATTATTGCATGTTACATTATATACATATATTTCATACATGTATATCGATATGTTCAGCTAGCCACATGTCATTCGAATATCGAGCCACGTAATATGTTTATAGATTTCTATTGAAGCGTATTGCAGTAAAAAAATTAGTCTATACTTTGATTTATATTTTATTTTATTTACTAATGTGTTAAAATAACAATACAAAAACAGCGCTAAGTATTTTTTGTACATTACATTTTTTTTACTTTTATTTTTACTTTTATTTTTAATTTAAATTAAAATTTTTATTTAACTTTAAATTTTTTTAATTTCCTAAATTTAATTCTTTGTGCCTTATATTACCTTTTTGAATATACGTTTAAATATA